TGGGGTGAGAGACGATGTCAAAGGCCTTGCTGAAGTCCAGAACCCCCCTTAAATACTATGTCATCTAAGTCTTTCTTTAGTTTTTGAGAAAATAGAGAAGAGGATTTGGTATAACCTTGGGGCAATTGAGTCCAGGTATACTGGAGTTCTTGGTAGGTAAATGCAGAGAAACTGGCTATCAGGGTGTATAGGGATGGAGAAAAATGCAGAGCACAAATCAATAACAGTGAAATAACATGCATCAGGAGGGATACAGGACAAGATAAGAGCTGGGTTTGGTACAACAGGAAAAGTAGGTAAAACTACAGAATTTACTGCACGGAGATCTTGTACAAAGTGATAGGTATTTTTTCCAGGTTTTTTTACAGGAAGAATAGGTGTATTACAAGGGCTTTTAGTTGGAAAAATGATACCTTGTTTCAAAAGGGCAGTTATAACAGGGCGTATCCCATCTTCGGCTTCTGGGCGTAAAGGGTATTGAGCAACCTTAGGTGAAGGTTTAGCTGGGTTTAATTTGATTCTTATAGGCTGGGCGGTATGGATTTACCCTACGTCATGAGCGTGCTGAGACCAGAGAGACAGAGGGACAGCCTGCATGATTTTTTCTTGCAACACAGAAAGATCAGAAAATGCCGGTGCAGGGGGAGAGTTATCTAAAACCACAAGCACTGCCAGTTCATTATTATTAGGAACATTTAGATAAACCCCATTAGGAGAACAGTAAATAGTACAGCCAAGTTTACAAAGCAAATCTTTTCCTAACAAATTAACAGGAGAACAGGGACTTAGGAGAAAGGCATGCTGATCTGAAATAGGACCTAGAAAAACCCATAGGGGTTGGGACACAGGATGAGGAACTATTTGATTTGAAATTCATACAGCATTTATAACATCGGAGGAGAGGGGAGTTGTAGAAAATTCTTCAGCTTGGAGACTTGAATGACTTGCACCGGTGTCTACTAAACATTTTGTAGAGATGCCATTTATCACACAGGAAATGAAGGGTTCTTCCTGATTAAGTGAGAGAAGTGGGGCTGTGATGATGTTACTATTCCTCAGGCTGTCCTAACAGGAGGCTCTTTGATTCGGGACAGAGAATTGAGTGGGAGGAGGTGGTGGCAGGTCAACTGTCATCTCTGGCTGGCCAGACTGATGAGGACAGTGGGCCTTCCAGTGTCCTGGTTGACCACAATAGTGACAACTGTCACTAATTTGGGACTGAAACCCTCCTTGTCCCATCCCACGACCACATCCCCTGTCTCTAAATTGTCTCCAAAGGAACCCTCTGCCTCTAAAAGTCTGCATTTGTAATGACATTGACTTAGTTTCTGTGATTTCCCTTTTCTTTTCTTGTCAGGTTGTACAATGATTAGCAATGGTGACCAGTTCTGCCAGCATCTTAGTTTGCCAGCCTACAGCAATTGTGCACAGTTGTTCCTGGACTTTAGGAAAGAGTCCTTGAATGAAAGCAGCAGCAACTGCTTCTGGGGCAGTTTCAGCAGCCTTCTCAATACCTGAATGTCTTTCAAATACTAGTTTTAAGCAATCCATGTAATCCGCTGGGGATTCACCTTTATTTTGCTTGCAATTATTTATTTTTGCCCGGTCAGTTTTTCTAGGGCAAATCTTAAGTATGGCCTCAAGAAGACGTTCTCGGGCACTCACTAAGCGACCATCTCCTCCGAGATTTTGAGCAGGCCATTTAGCCTGCTTGGTGAGGCGATCACGAACTTCAGAGGGCAGAATATTTCTCATTAATTGGTTTAAATCTGCCCAGGTTGGGTCATAACAATTGATTACAGTTTCCAATTCATCTTTAAACTTCTGGGTCTCTTCCCGGATGTTGGGGAACTGCTTAACAAGGTTTAGGAGATCTCCTGGAGTCCAGGGGGCATGAAATGTGACTGTAGATTCCCCATTTGGACCCTGCCCTGGGAGTTGACGTAAGGGCATTTGAAGAGCCTTTTTAGGTTTTGAAGAAGGGACTGGACCATAGTGGGTACCAGACCTTAAATAAGAGGAGGTCGAGGCTTCAGGAACCAGCCACCCGGATTCCAGTGGGCATGCCCAGGGGCGAGGAGATGATGGTTGGGTGTTAGGTTCCTGGGGTGAGCTTTTCCCACCGGAAGAGTCTATTTGGTCACTCTGGATTTCTTTGGATTTAGATTGTGCCTGGGACTAGTATGTACCTGGGGTTGGCATGCTAATGAAATCAATTATGTCTTCTACAGATTCATTCTCAGTCAATTGTGGATAAAGCGGTGTTGGTGCTGATGGCGCTGTTGTTAATGCAAGGGGATCCCCTGCACTTTTCTGTTTTAATTCTTTTATCTGAGATTTCAGTTTGTCTTGGGAGTCCTCAAGGCTCCAAACTTGAGATTCTTGACGTCATTTGGAAGCTTCCTCATACCAATCAAAAATTGAATCCCACTGGGTCTGTGGCGTTTTACTGCCTTTTGACTCAAGGGCTCCACGGAAATGAATGGTTTTACTTAAATCAAATGTTCCCTCCAGGGGAAACTGCAAACTAGAGTCATCTTTGGTATGCCTATTCCATTTATCTAAAAACTTACAACTCTTATGGCCATAGTGAGTGTACATGTACAATGCTGGAGTCCCTTTCGGCAGAGCCGGTACATCTTTAGATCCTCCACTTCCTATTTCTTTAACTTAATTCACACAGGTCTTTCACACAGGAATGGCTTATTAAGTGTGTCCAGTCAGGTTGTGAGACTTGCTAGTGGCACAGAGATGCTGTGGCTAATGTCCAAAGACAAGACTCCACTGCAATAATGGCACACAATGCAGTTACTCACGGTTAGACATGGCTCATTTATGGGGGTGGAGAAAGGGTAAACCTGTCTACTGGGTCATGAGGTTCCAGTTGGGCCCCCTTGCTTTCAAAACTGCCCTTCTGGACAGCCTTGGGGTGGCTGAACCCAACCTTAGTTCCAGACCTGGTCAATGGCTCATATTTCTCAGTTCATACTCTCAATTTACACAAGGGAATTTCTGTGTTGAGGCATGAGGTTCAAGAGCATTTCTCTAGTTCCAGCCATGGTCAACACTTATCATGGAAAACACTCACACTCTAAGAGTTTTCACCTTGCGCCCTTGCTTTCGAAAAGCACGCAGAACAAGTCCGGTGTCCTCAGGGCGGCTACACAAGGTTTCCACTCCTGGCCTTAGAAAGACCTCATAGTTCTTTACAGAACTTAATTCACACAGGAAAATACATTTACTGACAACAGCAACACAGTCTTTAACCTTAACTCCACTCACAGTTTCTACTTACAGAGTGGGTCTGAAAATTCTGGCAGCAAAAAGGTCGGATAGAGTAAGCCTCAAGCAGTGAATCAGGAAGACACAGAGACAGCCTCTCACTGAAAAGCCCCAGTAGAGATTTCAAAAGGTCTCTTACCTTGGTTTGGCACCAGGGCTTCAGTGAAGAGATGTCTGTGTCCCAACTGATCATTCTGGGCATCTTTATCTGAGTCACGACACCATAATTGTGGAAGAAATCAAACTTCACGTTGTGTTTGGCATTAGAATTCACAGACTCAGTCTGAGTTTATTGGTGAATACACCATCCAATCATAGGGAGGAGATCTAACAGAACTCCCTCCCTCTACAAGTTAACATACTTTTTTATACCTCAAATTGTTTAAACAAAGCATCCTTGAAAAGAAAGTCAGGGGTAAATCATAATAGTTGCTTGCTCAGCAGCACGTTTTGTTTTGAAAACTGTTATCACCTTTTTGGTTTTTAGGAAAGGAAGAACATTTGTTCCAAAAGAACTGTGCATGGAGTCATAAAAAGCAGAAGAGTTTTTTTTTATCTTAAAACATTTTAAAATACGAAACAAGACCATTTTTTTTCTTCACTCATTTTCCTTAGTTAAGTTAGAGGCCTGGATTGATCTATAGTTGGATAGAGGCCTGGATAAATTTATAGTCAAGTTAGAGGGGCCTGGATAAATCTACTTCAACACCACCCACCCAGACACTCGTTCTCACCAGCACCAAACCTGGAAATCCAGCACCGAATCACTCCAGGAGTGCCCCCCACTCTTAATGCTCTTATTCTGTCTCTAAATTGTGCCTGGGAGCAACCTCAGAGTGGAATGATCCAAACAACCCTCTGGGGGCTGTATTGCAGATGTGTGCTAAGTGCTACAGAAATGCAAATAATGTTAGAGTCAGTCAGAAAATGGGGTATTTTCCACAGAAAAGAAATTGATTGCTTTAAAAAAAAGTATCTATTATCTGTGGGGGGGTTTTTACTATTGTAGAAATTAAATTAAATTTTACTCAAAAATAAATCTTTTTCTAATTTTCCAAAAGTGTTAATATTATTCTGTATCAACTCTCTAAAACAAGTGCAGGGTTTCAAACAAGTCTGCAGGAAACTTTTAGGCAAAGTTTTACTTAAGCTCTACAAGAAAGCAGAGAAAGAATTTTCAGCCTGCTCATTTGTTTCATCCAGATGTATGCCCTCTACCATCTGTATTTGAATACCTGAGTTCAAAAGACCTTCTCTCAGAGGATGAAGTTGCACATTAAACTTAGATGAGACTAAGGGCACTTAAAACCTGAGCATCCATATGTTTAAGCTAGTGCCCTCTGAGCGTCTCAAAGTTATGCCACTTCAGATGAGGGTTAACTCTGGGCTGTGCTACCCAGCTCATGTTAGAGTAACTTCAGTCTGTTCCACAGAGATAAAATAAGTAAGTTATAGTGCTCCAGCATCTCAGGGTGCACTGCTACCAAATCCAAAAGCAGAGGTAGGGCCCAGGTATCCTGGATCCTAGCCATGCCCCTGATCACCAGCCCTCTAGCAGCAAGTCAGAGAAGTGCAGGCAAAAAACAGTATTAACCTTTAATGTATAACTGCTTGCAGTACATTCTAACTTTAATACCACTTAATGGGCATGTCTACATGTCGCCCTATGGAGACATAATAATGAGCTACATCACTGTATGGCACACTACAGTGACATAGTGTGGTGTAACCTTCAACATACATATAGGCTCGGTGGTGACAGCTTGTCTTGCACCACAGCCAAAAGGGACCTAGGGGTAATGATTGACCATCATATGGATATGAGCCGTCAGTGCGAGGTGGTGGTCAGCAGGGCAAACAACACGCTGGCATGCATCAACTGATGCATCTCGTGTAAAACCAAGGAAGTGATACTCCCGATGTACTCCGCACTGGTGAGACTGCAGCTGGAGTACTGTGTCCAGTTCTGGGTGCCTCATTTCAATAAGGACGTGGAAAAACTTGAGAAGGTCCAGAAAAGATCAGGGACTTGCAAGGCAAACCCTATGAGGAAAGGGTGAGGGACCTGGGCCTCTTTAGCCTCATGAAGAGAAGGTTGAGAGGGGACTTGATAGCGCTTACTGCTGTATCAGAGGAGTGCATCAGGAGCTCAGTGAACAACTGTTCACTAGGGCACCCCCAGGGAAGACCAGGACCAATGGATACAAACTCCTGGAAGGCTGCTTCAGGCTTAATAC